AGCCATAGCTCCATACAGCACCTGCCTGAATGTTGGAGGCATGGTGACAGAATGACACTAAACATTGACCAGCTTCTAAATTGCTTGAGTCACGATAATAGGATTTTCTTTCAGTGCCGTACAGTCGCACGTGAATGTCTACGGGATTGAAATTGCTGACGGTCTCGCCCGTGAGGGCAGTCATAGAAATACTGCTGGCAATGACTTTCTTACTTTCTCAGAAATGGCAACCCGGACTAGGTAAAGATATTGGTTCCTGTTGGAAAAAAGCTCCTGTGCATTATTGGTATGGGGGATGCCGGCCTGGTCTTGCTCTGATCAGGACAAGCAATAGGTGTGTCCAAACGGCGCTTGCCAGACTTAGAAGCGGACTCACTCGATTCCAACGTCACGTTGCGGGCTGCCCTATCCTATATAGTCTATCCGCTCTGCCCTAAGTGTAATGTGAACCAGTCTGCTCCTGCCCACATCCTATCGTGTATTAGCTGCCAGAAAAGTCACCTGGTCTCCAACCCAGCTGCAATAGTAGATAGCTCAGGGAGATTTTTAGATGAGTTCATGGACTTGATTTAATGCTTCTGATGGTCAAGTGGGCATAAGCAACAATAACAAAACTTGATAATCAGATGCTAGATAAGATCAGAGAGATGCCAAATGATACAGCAATATAAATTTTAAATTTCAGTTTGAACAACATGTATTTTACTTTTAGTATGCTGCCCTTAAAGTTCAAAGGTTTGCATAAGATAATTTGATTAAGTCCATGATGTTCCTAATTCTTTAAATGTATTAATCTATACATTTTTGCTTTTCATTGCATTGAATTTTCATTTGTTTTCATTCAGCTGATTCCAAATAATTTACATCCTGAGCGATTGAAAAAAAATTATGTTTGTACTATCAAATGTTTTTGCAAAATTTTGAAATTCAGTATCATCTGTTCCTCCCATACACCAATCAAGGAAGTTAAAAAGGAGTGATAGAGTAGTTTTTTCAATTGCTTAGGGCTTAAAATTTAGTAGATGTCGATGGCCAAATACAATCTAAGGATGAAGGACTGTGAGTTCGTTTCACCATAATATTAAAAGTTATTTATATACAAATCCTTTAGCCTCGTTATCATAATCATATGTGATTGTTTCATTTTCTATCATAAAAATTGGTCTATCTTCTGTTTGTGTTGATTTTGTCTAATTTAAATATCGAAAAACTGCATCATCCTAAACATGGCTGTTCAAAACAAGTTCAGAAAAATTTCGTTGCCTTGGTTTGACAAAATCAAGCTGAGTATAATCATGTTGCAACCATCATTTTAGCAGCACATTACTTACATATAAATCAGACACACTTAATGAATTATTTTTTAGCAAATTCTCTTGCAAAATTTAGATAATTTGTTCACTTCAAATATCTATTAATTATTTTTTATTATGAATTCAACAACAGCTACATGAAATGAATTGTGAGCAACTGTATGTAGCAGAATAGATAATTCATCTTTGGCGATTTTGTTTTAGAAATTTGGTGAATTGGAGAGGAAGAACATTTTATGATATTTTACACTTTTTTCAATTAAATCTATTCCACGAATTTTAATTAAAATATGTTTCTATGCCTGTTCTTTGTGGTTATAGTTCATTTGCGTCGCACTAGAGCTGCGCAATGGACTATTGGCGACGGTCTGGGAAATATCTCTGAGGAGGATCCGAAGATGAAGACATACCATCACAATTTTAATCCTCCGCAGAGGGGATGGCGCCCCCTTTTCGGTAGCCTGATGACCTGCATGCGAAGTCGAGCACTTTACGGTAGAACAGTTTAACGAGGACCAATACCGCACACCCTCGGTCCCTACGCAGACTGATCCAAGTCACCCACCAACACTGATCCAAGTCACCCACCAACACACTGACTGCAGCCAATAATGCTTGACTTCGGTGATCTACTGGGAACCGCGTCTTAACGATCAGTCCACTGCGGGGCATGCCTGTTCTTTAGAACCGAAGCTGGTGGCAAAAATGTATAGTAAGTGAATGACAAAAAATTTATTTTAACAATTAAACAGAAATGATTGAAGATGAGAGGCATCTGTGTTTAGTGCGTTGAGCAAGAGCTGAATCTGTTATAAAATAATTAAAGCTGTACATAGCAGAAAACAAGCAAAGGAAGTTAGTTTTGGAATTTAAAGATGAAAAGCCTGATCAATGATTATGTGCGCAGAAAATAAAAGTATGCTATTAAGATATTTTTAAGATTATTATGATTATTTTTTGCTATTAAGATAATTCAAATTAATATGGGTGGGAGGGTCAAGAAGGGGCACGTGTTTACGATAAACACACGTAGAAGAAATTTAAATTGGAAGAATATTTCAAATAAAACAGCATTGTCCAAATTTAAGCATATTTTCACGTACGGAATAGCTTGGTTGGCAGGACGTTTTATTCCAGTCTGAGTTCTAATCCTGCCAGCCGAATACTCACCATGTAGTTAAATGGTGACTAGTGCATGTTATATCGCTCGGGCAACAAAGTCATCCATGTTGCCATAACAAATTATGTACTGAATTGGAGATTTATCGTTGCATGGTTCTCATCGAAATTACGATCTGTGGATGAAATAATGGATTTATGAATGTGTCCGCCCTGTGTGACGTATGCGAGAGACAGAATAAGAATTCTTGGCTGTAGATGGCACCACTTGAAAGCAAGAACAATAGTATCACTTGCCTTAATAACCTACAACAACAAGAATATTTGCAATAGATTTTTATCTCTTTTGCTCATTTTTATAAGGGTAAAAGTTACTATGCTTAATAATTCAGTTTCATGTAGAATGTAAGAAAAGAACATCCCTAATTGTCACTAATGAATAGTTAGATATTACGTATGTCTTATCAATTACCCAGAAATAGTTAAGTATATAGAATTTCAATAATGAATGAACTCAGGGTTTTTTCGTTTGTTATATACTTGTGTAAGTGAAGTGTAAGTAATTTGATAACTAAATCTCATTATTGGTTACAAAAGCATTATTTAAAAAACGAAGTATTATCACGCATTAAGAATATTCAAAAAGCTATTTAGCTTCAAATAGAAATAAAACTTAACTATCACTATTTTTATGAATACTCCTAAGTAGTAAAATACGCATTAGCTGCAGGCTAATAATGCTAAAAGCCCTAATTTATTTCTAACAACGAATTAAGGTTTTATAGCAATTATTATTTTTATAGTTAAGGGTTTGATGATTGTCATTTGTTCTTAGCACAAAAAAAAATTATCGCATAAATATGACTTTTCTTTTGGATTCTAAATAGAGTGAACTGGATTCTTTTTCTTCAAGAAAAGAATTTCTTATTTGAAAAAGCCAATAAATTTTTTTCGCGGAATAAACTACATGCGCAGTATTTTTTTGTCTATGCTTTATGGAACATTAAATATTTTGTATTTTGATTTATATATCAGTATTAAGTTTGAAAAAGATATTGTAACTATGTTAATCTATTTTTTCTGATAAATGTTATGGTTAGTCATAAATAATCTTCGCATAAAAATTGTCTAAATAAAATACATCTTAACATATAAAAGAACTTGAATAGGCTACATAATTTTATTTTAAAACACGAGAAGAAAAAGAAATAACAAAACAATGTTAATTTAACTATTTTTTCTTATAAGTATTATGGTCATTCCACATTCCATATATATTTCCACATTCAAAGCCTGAGAAATTAAATGCATCAATAAAATAATTAAATTGAAGGATATATGAATAATTATAAAACATTGCGAATCAAACATTTTTTAAAAACATATTATGTTTTATTATAAATAAATTTCGTATGGAGAGTATGCTAAATGAAATGCATTATAACGCTCTTGTTAAGTTAAACTGACAATATAATTTAGGTCCTGAAACATGAAATAGATAAGGAAATAATGCAATGATGTTGATCTAATTCTCTTCAATAAATATCTTACTCGGTCACAAATAGCATTAGTACACAGAGATTGATTCCAATGCATAATTTAAGCCTCATAATGCTTTGCTTTTCCTTATGTAAGGGGTACGTCCAATGATAACCGAAGAAATTACTTTGAACTTATTTCTTGCCTAAGTTGGCAACACTGTCGAACATCCATATAGATATCGATGTTATATTGTATGTCAATATTGCCACCTTTAAGGTTTCAGAAATGCACTTTGAAAATCTACAGGCTTATAAAATTATTTTTTATTGCACTGGAGGTGAGCATATTGAAAAAAAATATATATTTACTCAACATTGGAGGCAAGCGAGGTTGAAGAGAGGGGTGTGGTTGGTTTTTTGATGGTTGAAGCTACTGGAACACACGGAATTCATCATCGCATGCCGGTTATGTATGGTAAACACTGCATAAGTGCATAGTTAAAAAAAGTTATCTTAAGAAAAACGTCAATGCAAGAAGATGTGTTTGTAATTACTGATGCTCTGATACTAGAAAAACAAAGAATCTCACAGATTTGGTTAGTCATCTTTTCAGCAGCATCTGTGCGACCAAGATCTTTCAGTTTTTGACATACACATTACTGGTAAATATAAAAAAAGCCTTTCGTGCATGTCAGTTTGATTTTGACAATGACATGCAAGAAGGCAGAGTTGGCTGATCCATCAGGGATTTACCTCTTTCTACGTGGTTTGTATTGTTCGTTTCGTATTAATAACACTTTTAAAAATTAATTTTGAAAAACATTTCCCTTGACATTTTTCAGTAAAATGCTTTGATTTCATTTGACTTAATTGCAGAAAATATTTTTAAATATTAAAATTATTTTTTATTAAATAGAAAAAAGCAAAAAACATTACAAAAAGTATCGCAATTACATAGGATAATAGCGAGAATTCATAAAAGACATTTTATATGTGAATATTACAGAATTTTCTTCGTAATAAGGGAGTTGCATTTCAGTATGCGGTTCATTCATCCACTATATCAACTGGTTGACAAAATACTGACCTTTATTTTCAGTTATTTTAAGAATGTGGTCATCATTTCTAATCCAAGAATCGACGACGACATATTCCCTCACGAACGAAGGCAAATGGCACCTCAGAACAGCAGTGTTTCCCCGAACTACAAAATCATCATACACTTGAGGGTTGAAACGTTGTTTCATAACTGAAAAGAGAAAGAAAAAAACTTTCGTGAACATGATATATTTTTGAATTGAATTATACAAATACGAAAAAGAAATCAATAAGTCATGAAAGTAAGAAATATTGCGCTCAGCACAGTAAATTAAAAACGCGTTAAAAAAATATTAATATTCTGTGCAAGTGCCATGGGATAGAGCGTTTAGTTTCTACTGAGGTCATCCGGGTTCAAATCCCAACGATGGCTAGTCGAAACAAATTTCGCACCCGGCTTGCACCGACCACAATTCAGATGTAAAAATATCCGCAGTGGTAGACAAATCATGGGTTAAAGTCCCTTTGGGAAACACAAATGTGTGTTAGTTCCATCAAAAAGTTCTTCAGGAAGGCAAATTACTCTCAATACTTTAACCAAGAGTTTCCTGGTCTTCTGAACTGGGTTCAAAATTACAAGGCTATGGAGTTAAACATAGGTAGTCGCAAAACCTAAAATTGCGACGGCTGTCCAACGAGGGTTAAAAATATACACAAGAGAGCAGCCGGTTGCCTCAGGAGATAGAGCACTCGTCTGCCAATGAGGTAATCTAGGTTCAAATCCCAGCTTTTTCTGGTCTCTACCTCCCGGCCAAAATTGGGTCGGCTGATTAACGATAGTTGTAAAATAAGATATTTAGTGCAACTTTTTTGGAAACTTGGGAGCCACTCTCAAAGCATACGGTATCACCGGATGGCTTGCGTTGCACATACCAGAATTTAATTTTCGACTGCATGTTCCATAAAAATTTTCATTTGAGCGAAAAAATTTTAATCAAAAGTACATTTAAACATAGCAAGGAAAAAGCTCAATTGAAAAATAGCTTAAAAAATGATAAATCATTTGTTTTCTCAGAAATAGATAGAAGAGTTAAAAAAAAACAATGTTTAATCTATTTTTTAAAATAACAGAACAGGTTCAATTCTTTACGAACTACAGCGTTACATATGGATTAAAATATTTTAATCATTCGGAAATACTCCACTAGCTCTGTTTATTTATTTATTTATTTTTAAATCAAAAGTACATTATTTCTCGCAATAAGCAAAATTATATTGGAAATTCTAATTTTATCATTTCTTTATTGCCAATGGCGTTATAGAGTTTGAAAGTTTTATTTTACATCTGCTTTTCGCTGAATATTTTTTAAAAGCAATTTTAAAACTTATTATAAATTCTGGTAACCCCTAATATTCTCTTACGTATCAGATTTTTGTCTAATATATTTCTTTATCTTGTGTTGTACTCATTTTGTCCTTATCACTATGAAGTGGCATGTAGTGTACTGAAACAGAACACCACTGTCTTTTTAATTTTTTCAAGTAACACTTTACACCCTCTTTGATATTATAAAAATGAAATAAAGTAAAGTAATGAAATAAAGTAAATACTTTCGAAGTAAATATTAAGCGAAGTCATATTGCCATACTTGCAAGTATAAGGAGAATAGAACTATGGAAAAACCAACAAGCTTCGAACTCTAAAAAAAACGAGATTTTTATCCCGATATGGCAAATGTGAATAAATATAAATGTGCCAACGGTAAAATGGTAAATAAATAAAGGTGGAAAGTAAAGCTCGAAAAACCCTGCTAACCAAGTGAGGCAAATCAGGCCAAGATGCATTTCCAAGGGGTAAAGCGAGTTCGTGAGATACTTATTTCATTAAGGAATTTATATTTTTTTTTTATTCTGAAACTATTTAGTTTTTCTTATTTACGTCCGGTAGATCTTCATAATAAAGTCTTATTTATGAGCAGTCAAAACCTGTCTACTTTTTCCACCGTTACAGGTTATTAGGTATGGCAGAATAATTTCGATATATTTTCATGTACATTAGATATGTACCTTTTGAACTAAACAAATTTTATTTTGTAATAATTTCTTTTACTAAGTTTGAAATTTACTAAACTAATATTTATTATTCACTTCTTCTTAAAATACATACTATATCAATAACTTGTTTGGTTTAAATTTATATCCAGCTTATAACCATACATTAAAATCATATTCCCTTAAGCAAACAATTCCCTAATCCTTAAATAGTTTATTTAGGAATTTTAATGAAATATTCTTCTTTATCGAGTTAAGGATAAACAATAGTTTTTTCTATTTTCCCACAAAAATAAACAATACTTCTTGTCGGGGCATGAAAAACTTTTATTTTAGAAGGGAAAAAATGAAAGATGGCAAAAATGTGATAAAAAGAGGCAAAACTGCTTTAAAATAATAAATTAGCTGACAGTTTTGAGTTGAGATAAACGGAAGTATAAAAAAAATATTGAATAAAAAATGGAAAAGAATCACAGAAAAACACTTTTTATTCTGCCACGTCTACTATACGAAAAAAGAATAATGCATAATTCATTGAGCGGTCTTGCATTTCAGCTGCAAATCTTTTTAAAAAAATATTTTAGAGCGCGCTGAATTCTATTAGTCAAGACTAAATTGCTATTCTTGGTTTAACACGAAACTGTTGTGTTAAAAAAGGGAAACGCATAGATATATAGATATATTGCTTTAGGAAAGCCAAGTCATTTTACATTGCTGCCTTTTTTAAGAAGCATAGCATGTTTTTGGAAACTTTTTCAGTCATATTAATCAGGCCAAGGTTTTCTTTTACTTTGTTTTAAGCTTCATTTATAGGAATATATTTTAAAGATACTGAAAAACTTTCATTTATTACGTATTTAATTAAATATATTTTACAGCTAAATCAAATTATGTTAAATGAAATATTTAAAAAAATAATCAATAATTAAGAATTTTTTTTTTTTTTAAATTTATTCATTTATTTTTTTATTTCCAATGAGCTGCACAATCGGTCTTACCGATGAGCAGACCTAGTGCGTTCTCCAGAAGTGGTATCCACTCTATCAGGACCACCACAATGGGTGAGATACCGTTGGTCATGTTAATTTGGACGTCTAGTTTCTGCCACACTAGATGGCAGCACCGAGACTCTAATTGGATGCTAACGTGCACTGGGAATTTAATTTTGCCGGAAATGCCAAGAGTCAATAAGGCACTCTAGGGATCTCTTACATGCCGCATAATCATACGACATGGCCACTGAGGATTTTCTGCATCCCGAAAATCCGGTGTCTGGACCGGGGATCGAACCCACAGACTTGGGCTCAGAAGGCCGATGACAAACCAACTGCGCCACCCAGCCAGAAAAAATATTCAAGTAAGGAAATGGTCAACTTTATAGCATATATGAGTAAAGCTAATTAATGTAAAGTTTACTCAAATAATACAATATTAGACGAAACTATACTGATGGTGATAAAAATTAAGAGAATTTGCGCATTTTATTGAATTTCATGAAAGGAACTGAAATAAATGTAAAACCACTGCTTTTAGACAAAAATGCATATTCTTGTACATCAAATATGTAAGCGTACACGTGCGTGCAGGTGGACCCAGTAAAGAAACATACTTTATTAGTAAGTTAAAACGCATTTCGTTCGCTAACTCACCTCATCGAATTTCTTCGTGTTATTTCGCAGCAATTGGTAAATTCAAATTGTAAAATGATAAACTGCCTTATTTCAAGTATGAAATCACGCTGCATGGCCTGTATATCTGCAAGTGGGAACCATACTCCCATTAGCCCATTTTTTTTGTTTATTCTGCAACCACTGTTTCATACCTTCCGACTTCAACGAGTGTTTCGCACAATCATGCTTTTGTATTACAATTGTTGGATAGTTATTTGTTTTGTATCGCATCAATTTATTTACTTATTAAATTTCATTTAAATTGGTAGTTCTAGAGATAATCGACCAAGTCTGCAAATTCTCTTAATTTCTTACACCAGTGCAATTAGCGTTCTTTTATTTATATGACAGTATTTGTACTTGAATAATTCTAAATTAAAACATAATCCCACGCTACTGTCTAACTAATTAGCACTTCCCTTTACGTGATATTATGTGGCACCTTTTTGCTTTAATAATGTGGCATTACCAACTAACTAATTTGTATTCCTGTGGCATTCATTGTGCACTCATTACGCAAGCTGCTTAGCATTATTCATTTAATGAATGTAGAACTTAAAATATCCGAACCTTAAAAGTGTTAATTTTTTCTACATGTGAATGTTAATTCAGGAAAAAATTCTGCCCCTAACGTTGTTATTCGTATGAGTGACGATATAAAAGTCGTTGTAATAATAATTTTGTTATTTGTTAAATGTTGTCAATTATCCTACTTAACGAGCTAAGCCAATATGTGAAGCATGTTTGGGTAAAAAAGATATATGGAATTTTCACACATCGGATAATACAATTTTTGAGCCCTGCTTTACACACTGGTGTAAGAAATTAAGATAATATGCAGACTTGGTCGATTATTTCCAGAACTACCAATTTAAATGAAATTTAATAGGTAAATAAATTGATGCAATACAAAACAAATAAGTAATCAACAATTGTAATACACATCTTGATCGTACGTAACACTCGTTGGAGCCGGAAGGTATGAAACAGCGTTTGCAGAATAAGTAAAAAAAATTGGTTAGTAGGGGATATGGTCCCCTCTTACAGATATACAGGCCTTGCAGCTTGATTTCTTACTTGAAATAAGTGAGTTTATCACTTCTTGTGGCAATTGCCCTGAATTTTCCTGTGGCTATTTCATACCTTTCATATCCAACGAATGTTACGCACAAGTGTGTATTAAGATTGCTGAATGGATATTTGTTTTGTATCGTATCAATGCCTGTACATATGAAATTTTATTAAAATATCGTTCAGTAATTCTAGAGATTATCGACCAGTTCTTCAAATTCTCTTAATTTTCTACACTAGTGTAGAAATATTGGTCGTCCTTGTATGCTTCAAAATGTCCTTTTTCTCTTAAACCTTGCTACCCTTTAGATAGTTAAGCTATAATACGGACTTTAAATTGTATGTTAATTCCTGAATTCTGTGGGATTATAAATTTGAAGTCTGTGGTGACTGATTCTCTGGTGACTATAAATTTGAA